TTTTCTGGCAGGCAGCTGCTAAAGCAGCAGAGGAGGGTGCGCAGGACAGGGCAGAGAGGGGAGCAGAGCTGAAACCGGGGATAAACAGGGCAGTTCAATGTCCGGGAGGAGAATCAGGCAGCCCGCTTAATCACATTATTTAACACCATAAGGATTATTTTTCAGGAATTTATCCTTCCTTCACCTCCCAGTGGATAATGCTGCAAAATGCTGGCGTTGGCTATGGAGAGCATTTAAGATCTTTCTTTCTGAAACAAGCCCCTGGCGTGGTGTCCTGCGAGAGGAGTCTGTCCGGCAGCGCCCGGAGCTGCGTCAGCGATGTAGCATCAACCCGAGCCCCTCAAGGACATGTTCTGGCCCTGTCCTTGCACAAGGTGGGTCCTGCCCTTGAGGGGCACACTGGATTTGGCCCTGGCTCAGCCTGAAGGTCAGTGCTTGGCACGTGCCCCGATGCAACGGGGATGGGTTGCACTGTTATAGACCCTCTCTGCGAACAGGCTTAATGCTCTCAGGGGGTTTTGGGGAGTAGAGTGGAGGAGAGTTCTGCTCTTGGAGGGTGGGAAGCTTCCAGTTTCTGTTGGGGTTATGATACCAGGATTATTGAAACCAAGAGTTGAAGAGTAAGCTTTAGTACTGAATCTGAAAGGCCCAGGGAGCTCAGGGAGCTCCTGGTGCGAGACAGTCACTGTATGGCTTTGGTTGCTTAAAGTTAGGGGCAGGATTTGAGAACAGAAAGGTACAAATCTCTCAATTATTGCCAAGTCTGTAAAGTCTGATAACCTACAGCAAATGGTCTGGGGTGGAGGCTCATGTTGGTTATGGAGAACAGCTGCTGCGTTGTCGAGCAAAGGGTGATGACCAGTTGAACTTTAGGGATACGGTTACGAACTGAGTTAAGATTTCAGTTCAAGAAAGGAAATGTTCCATTGCCTGGACTGTTCTGGACGTCACACAGACCACGTTCTTGGTTGAAGGATGAAGGGTGGCAACGAAATTCATTATTCTGTACAGAGGGAGAGGAGCTCCTGTTTTTAGCAGTTGCATCCCAGGGGTGGATTTCCCATTTCCTTGACAAAAGCAGAGCCGAAGTAACCCATGATCCCTCTGGTTTGTCCTTTTACAGTATGGTGTAATTTCATGCAAGATTCAAGGCAATGATGAATTGTGCTCTAGAGCTGGCATTTCCTAAAGACAATTCAGTAAAAACACACGGTCGTGCTGCATACGATACAGATCTAACATTCTTTGTAGGCTTAGCACAGGTAGCAGCATGAGTCTCTACCTGGCAAACTCTTCTGACAGATGCGTTCCTTACCCTCTGCGCCCCAAATAAAACCACCAGCCTTTTAGGATCTCATGCAGGGGAGGACATTGCTGAGTTACCCCGGTAGCCTCCTAGGCTGGAGTGCAGACCCTGTCACTCAACAGTGCCCAGGGCATCAGAACCAATTAAAGAAAAATGAGAATTGATTTGAAGAATGTAATAATCATTCATCTAGCTGGGGAAAAGAGTGATTTTATCATTGATATATTAGAAAGAGTAACATTTACTCTCTGATAAGCATTATGACACCCGCAGAACTAAGTCTTAAACCTCAAGGACTTGCATGGTAAATGATTTATTTCTAAAGAACAAGAAAATAATAATGTTGCAAATCAATCCAAGAGGCTAAGAAGGCTGGAAGTCGGCAGGGGAAGGGCTTCGGACTCCAGTCTTGGCCCAAAGCAAGAAGCCAAGTATCTCCTTGGACCCCATGCCTGCCTTTCCATTGCAATTTGGCTTCCCAGCATATCATGCCCAGCTTGGTTTTGTAATCACTCTTGCAGTGGCTCTTGGCAGCACACGGGTGTTCACCCTTCACGGTTCTCCCGCGTCCTGTCCTACTGAGGCAGATGTGCTCATTGCAGGGTAAACTTAATTGGGAATGGTGATCTCTGGGTACAGAGCATAAGAAAACCAACGATGGGTAACAAAGCAAGGTGGTTTTGAGGGAGAAAGTGAAACCTGCCATAGCCTGTAAATATCTCTGCTTGTGCTTTGGTGGCTGCCCTTGGACGGGCGGTTTAGTCGCTCTGTGCTCAGCTTCTCATTGCTCTAACAAGGGACAAGGAGCTTCCTTGATCTTTGTAAAGCATTCACTAAGCGCCAGATTTTTCTTTCATGTTCTGGATGTCCCTGCTATAGAATACATACATCAAACCCTGCCCGTAATGGAGTAATTAAATGGCACTGCTAAAGGGATGTCATAGGATGGGACTGATTACCGCTCACCCAGAAATGTCTTCCCAAGTCCCAGCCCCTTTGACATGATTCTCCCCCCTTCTCTGAATTTCTTCCTGCATTAATTTCAGCCAGTCCTGGGATTATTTGAAAAAGGGCCTTGGGGGACTTGTTCAAAGGCACTGCCACCATGGAAGGCTTTGCTTTCTGAGCTGAAGCATTTCACTCCTATCTGTCTGGACATATGAGCTGCTCAGCACTGCTTCATTAGGCAAGTTATTTTTAAATTCCCAGAAAGAGCAAAACATTGAGAGAGGAATTAGCATTTGCTGTTGAAACAGCTGCAAAACAGAATAAGCAGAAACCCACCCTGGGTCCCTCCTGCTGCCCTATGATTAACCAGACGGCAGTGCCCAGAGTCACTGACACACGCTCATGCTGTACGTGAGATGTCAAAAATCACGCCCGAAGGTCAGGATTGATAAGTGACCCTCAAAACTGGAGTTTGGCTGTAAATAAGAGGTGATCGTCAATACTGAGTAAGAAATGTCTCAAAAGACCTCTCTTCCCTCCCACCCCAACCCTGTGTTTCCCACTTTCTCTTTCCCCCATTTTTTTCCTGAAGGACTTCTTTGACACTTAAAAAATCCTACATTCTGGTTTCTCAACACGAAGGAAAAGATAAAGCCTGCCCAGAGCCTATGCTTCCCCTAAACAATAACTAAAACCCAGCAGGCACCCAATACTTTCAAAATGCCAAGGGACAGCAATAAAGCCGATGTTACTTGGTGGTATTCTCGCTTTGGTGCATGTTGAAGTTTCCCAATGGCTAATAAATACTGCTCTTACAGCACGGCGTTAAAGCAAAAGGCACGGCAATAAAACCGTTAAAGGCACGTTTTGGTAGCTGTCTTTTTTGCAAATGCTGACTGCCCTGCGGCTTGTGCTGCTTGGGGCAGCTATGGCTCACGCTGATAATGTTATGCAGGCAAAAAAACCAGAGTTGGGAAGCCATAGCCCGTTACGGATATGGCCTAAACTTGACGAGGGAGGAGAGAGGACTCAGAATGGCCTTTTCTCCTAACGGGGAGGAAACAGGTATCACAGGTATCACAGGTATCACAGGTATCACAGGTATCACAGGTATCACAGGTATCACAGGTATCACAGGTATCACAGGTATCACAGGTAAGGCTGCCTGCGCCTGCCTGCTTCACCTCCTCCCTTCACCCCTGCCTGCATGCATAGTGTTTCTGTATTTATTCAGAAGAAATCTAGCAGAAGCTGTTCTAATAACCTGCTCCCAATTCCAGCCTAATGAAGGCCGCCGGATTCCTCCGAATTAATTCTTGTTCAAACTAGAGTGTTTCCTTTGGAAAAAAAAAAAAATCTCATTAAGTATTTCCAGCGATTCTTCAGCGATGGGCACGCTGCCATAGTCAGCAAATTGTGGGCGGACTGTTTCAGTGGACAACTTTCCCCACTGATAAAAATACACAGCAACCTAGTTTTGATGTCCAGCTACCCAACAGCACTTTGCCAGATAAAGAACTGTTCAATCTGCCACATGCCTTCCTAGAGACTGCATTTAAAGTGTCCCTCAACCTTTTATCCCTTAATAAACTGTGTTCCTTGGGCATTTCTCATGTAGGTGTGTTTTCTAGCCCTCGGGGAAGTCTTCCTGGAGCCCACAACAGAGGTGATAAAACCTCCCTGGTCTTCCTTGGTGCCTCCCTTTTTGAATCCATGGAAGCATTAGCTCCTCTTGGCAGAGCATCTCATTAGGAGCTCATGTTCAGCTGATTATTCCTCTTCTAAATCACTGTTTTCTATGACTTTGTCACCCGCCCTGTAGTCCAGCTGGCGCTCTATTCTTAGGCTGACAACTTTACATCTGGTGGCACTGAAAAACATGTTGTTTACTTAAGCTCAGCTCATTAAGTGATGCAGATTAGGTTTGGTATCAGCGACCTGCCCACAACTTCTCTGCACCTGCAGATCACCAGTAATGATTTTATATTTTCTTGTAGGTCACTGCTCCCACATTAAGGGTTGTGGGGTCAAGGACCGATGGAAAGGCAGCTGTGCCCCGTTCAGTGATGCTTCTGCTTACAATTACACTTGGAGAGCTACCAGTTCGTTCTCAGTCCAATTAATATTTGCCATATTGACTTATATTGTTCCTCTTTCTCAATCAAAATACTGTGGAAAGACAAGATCAGATGTCTTACTAACTGAAGGTTTACCCCATCAGCACTACTACTTTAAACCATGACATTAAGGAAAGTAGCTGGTTAATTTGACAAAGCCTACTTTCCATGATGTTACAGTTTTTTCCTGAAACGATTTATTAACGAGGCCTCTTACCTACATTACTCTACATTATTTAGCTTGGCATTGCTGTCAGCATGACAGACACACGTTTGCTGCAGTAAAGGCCATACTTTCCCCCTATCCCCTGATGGGCTCAGCTTTTAACTGAGTCTTTTGTAGGCCTCTGCTTTATTGCAAAAATATCCCTACCATCTCTTTTGCAGACAGGTTTATGCTTGTTTGTGACCACTCCAAGAGGGTACAAAGGAGTCCGATTTGAAAAGGGAAACTGCGGAGTCAGCATCATGAGAAGTGGTAGGCAGTTCCTGGGCGCTGAATGAGCCCGAATTAAACGTTTTGGAAAGCCGTAAGAAATTGCCTTGCAAAAATGTGCAACAACACTTCCCTGCAGCAAAGTTTTACCCCAGCCTGCCAGTTGTCAGTCTTTCCTAGGTATCCTTGGTCACAGAACTTCAACTAATGTGTTTCATTAACTTGTCGGGAGACAAATAGCTGCAACAGATTCCACCTGGCCTCTTCTCCAGCAGCTGCTAACTGAGAGAGGCTGGGCCAGCTCTCCTCCCCTGTTTGCCACTGATGACTTCTGCTCAGAGACTGGTCTCCAGCCCAGCCATGCTCACTGGTGGCAGAGGCACTGGGATTTTGCCCCGCGCTGCGAAAACCTTTGTGTCTGTGGGGTAAAATCCTGCGGCTCCTCAGCCCCTGCACTGCGTTCTGCACCGCGGTGTCTCTGGGCAGAGCTCAGCGATGTTCTCCAGACCCCAGCGCTGGGTTTGACGCTGCCGGCTCTCGCCTTGGAGAGCTCAGCGCTGCTGCGCGGGAACACTGATACCCAGCAGCTAAGTAACACCACGTAGCCTCGTCTTTCTGTCTGAACAGAGAAGACAGCAAAAGAGCTTCAAGGGCTTTTAACACTTAGAACTGAGGGAAATAAAAATCTCCTTTTTAGAACCTTCCCCAGTACAGTCCTGGGACGGTCTGTTTCATTGTCACATCTTGCAGAGGTGCCGTTTCTTAGCATGTAACCATTTGTTGTTGGGTTTTTTTGATGCTCGTTTTGAGGAGAGGCAATGGAACAAGGTTTACGGGACTGCTGTAGGTCGATCCGCATCGGAAAAATCCTGATACAGAGCGACGAGGAGACTCAAAGAGCGAAAGTGTACTACGCTAAGTTCCCACCAGACATTTACAGGAGAAAAGTTCTTCTTATGTACCTAATACTGAGTAAGTGTCTTTCATTATTACGTACAGTTGGACTCACCTGAGCAGGGAGTGCGCTGAATTTAAAGGAAAATTTCCCAATTTTGGGGGCTTTGATTAGGTTCTTTCCTTGATTTAGGTGACGCAGCAGGGCATTGATCCAGCTGTGCCAGGAAACGTATCAGTCAGCCTGCACCGGCGTGAATGCAGAGCCAAGCATTCGGGCGTGCCTGCCTCTGTGAGAAAGGGGGAAGCATTAAGGCTTGACATAAATTTATTTTTTTAAATTGTGCCATGAGAAAAGACTCAAATACTATTTTTTTCACATTACGAAAATACATTTTTTGATTAATATTATAACCCTAGAGGTAAATTTTTGTAAAATTAAATACAGTTACCAGTCTAAGATTTAATTCTGGTTCTACACGTGGAGCTCTTAATTGCCATTTTACTATTTTAGATGAGCTTTCTTGCCTCAGGGCTTTAATCAAATCCAGCGGCTTCAGTTCTCACAGCCTGGCAGAGCTGGCTGTTTCAGAGTAGAGGTGAAGTCCCTTCATCAGGGGACCAAAGTTTGCTGCAATTACTACAGGCAGAGGTGACAGCTTTCCAGGGGAAAGGACAGCATCATCAGCCAGTCACACACCATAAAAGTGAAAATCTCCCTTTTTCCCCTCTTAGGCACTGGGAATACTGTCATTGAAGCTGTCAAAGTTCTCGTGGAACACGGCGTACAACCAAGCGTCATTATCCTGCTAAGCCTGTTCTCCACACCTCACGGTAAGTTGGGGGGGACAGCGAGCGACCCCAGGTACGTTTAGTGGCAAGACTGACATTTGCCATGCGCTTCGGACGGCGGTGAAGAGCTGTTCCTTTGCAAATAACGACAGCAGCGTCGCTTTGCTAGAAAAGAGGGGTTTTCTTTTTTTTCCTGGCTGATTTGTAAAGCCAAGAACAAACAGCGACCCGTCCGGGTGGGCAGAGGCCAGGGCTAGCAGACAGGAGAAGGCCTGGTACAGCAACAGGCAGAACTGCAGACGGTAACGTATTCCTAAAAGCAGGAATTTGCGGCACTGCCAGGTAAGCAGAATGCTTCAGTGACTCGCAAAGCAGCGGCAGTCCTGCTGCTGCTATGAAAGGGGATCCAAAAACAGAACGTGTTTCTGTGCAGTAGGAAAATGGATCCTGTCCCTTGCTTTAAAAATTGGCCATGGCAGAAAGCACTGTCCAGAGTCAGCTGGACTGCAGAGAGCTGTTCGTGGCAGTCTGAAACCCTATTGGTGATTCGGTTGGGCGTATAAGTCTGTGGTAAAGAACAGAAAAAAACAAGAAACCCCCAAAAAGCAATCCACGAAATTCAGCAAGTTCTTCCTCACAGACGGTCAGCTAAGCCAGAAACACGAAGCGGAGATGCAGGAACAGAGCCTGACTTACCTTGGAATTCTGCTAATCATGATTTAACCTGTGGTGCTGAAATAGAGCCGCAGCGCGGTAGTCATTCTTGCCTTTGCCCTCTCTCTAAAGGTGCCAAATCCATCATCCAGGAATTCCCAGAGATCACCATTTTAACGACGGAAGTTCACCCTGTTGCACCCACACACTTTGGACAGAAGTATTTTGGAACAGACTGACACAGGTGGAACACACGGCTATGACTGGACGATGTTACCAGAGGGGTTTTTTCTACGTTTTCTTACTGTTGAGTTGGTCGAGGGCATGCTTAAAAATCGTTTATGGCCAAAGGGGGAAATACTTGACTTAGATTAGTTGGGGTCAGTCGCTGCCTGGACACGGACTGGGGTGCGCAGCGAAGCACCCTGCCGTTACAAAGCCAAGCATCTCAGTGCCGGGGTCGTGTAAACCGCTCCACTCTCTGCTTTAACTTATTTATTCTTCTGTAGCCTGTCTTGTGGCTGCTTGCAAGAGCAGAATAAAACAGCTAAATGACAACGAAGGCGTGTCCTTCCTCTCTAGTGGCAATACTTACGTCGCTGCAGGTCAACTGGTACGGCCACTCCCAGTGCTTCCACAGCACGGGGTGCGCACTTCGAACTCGCTGTAGTTCGTAGCGGCCACGCTGAATTTCTGGCAGAATTTTTCAGTCTTTGGGTGGTGGCCAAGCACTAAAGACACAACAGGTTGAATTTTGCTCTGCATAGATGCTTTTCAAACAGCAAAACGCCCACAGGTGCCCTGCTCGGTGGCACTGGACAGAGCAGCTCCCCAGGGTGGTGCAGGTGCCCTGGCAGGCGGGCGGGAGCAGCGCTGCCGCAGCCACCCGGTACGCATAGCGCTCAGGGTCTGCCTCCTGCAGCGGGTGGGGGTTTTTCAGCCGTTCTGGCCAAGGGAGAGCTGCGGCAGGAAGCCGAACTGTTTCTAGCTCTCTGGGCAGAGCAGCAGGGCTTCCAGTCCACAGACAAACGCGGCCCTCGTGGCTTAGCACCCCTTCAGAACACTCGGCGCGGTAATCGTATCGATCAGATTAAAGGTAAATCTGCCGCCAGATTCTTCCTTTGGTTTTAAATCCCGTGACACCAAGTACCCAATATCCCACACTTAACCCAGCTCGTATCTTACCTCACTAGAACCTTGGGTAAATTTATTTGTAAAGACAATGTCGCCCATTATTATTTTTTAACTATATCCATATCCCAAGAAGTGCAGGATTACAGAACGTCCTCGCATGCAGAGTGCTTCACGGCTCTCGTCAGACAAGCGGAATGCGAAGGCCTGGGCTGCCCCAGCCTCGGACGACAACGGGCAGCGTTTGGTGAATCCTTTTTTCCACACAGGTAAAAACCCCCACTGCAAGCAGTAATTTCAATTCATTACGATGCGTAAGGCTTCCAGAGAGAGAATGGTTAGCCCGAGCGCAGTCTAAGTCGTAGGAAATAACCATTCACAAGTACAACAAATTAGCCAAAAATGGTTTTAATGCAGTCCTTGCTGCAGTACAGTACAAACCGTGCAGGCTTCCCAGTATAAACCGTAATAGAAAACGACAAAGCAGACGGTACTTCAGCTGTAGAAACCACACAAACACTTGGAACACGGCAGTGAACCGTACACAAAGCATCAAGTCAGAGTGTCGGACAGTAAAAACGAGTATCCAAAGCTCTTGAAAAAACCCACCTGAGACCAAAAGTCTCGATGCCGGCAGCTGCATTAAACTCCTGAACCCGATGGACCATCCCAGGCAGGGTCAGCAGAGCATTTGGGACATTTGCTTCATGAAATTAAAGGGTAGAAATGGGGGTGAAACACCCTGGCGGAGTGGCACGTCCTCAGCTGCGCGGAACAGCACTGGCAGCGTGCAGGACACCTACAGCCACCACCACCAGCAGCCGGCCCGGGGGAGCCGCAGAGCAGCCGCACGCGGTGATGGAGCGGTGCTACGAGGTGCAGGTGCCGTTCCCAGCGTTCCAGCAGCTACGGGCAGGGAGCCTGCAGAGCTCCCTTCCTCGGCGGGCAAAAGCCGCTGCCCGAGAGCCCTTTGCGGGGAAGGGTCAGAGCCAGCACAGAGGCAGTGTGGGGGCTCCCAGTCCCATCCCAGACCGGCGCTGGCTGGCAGCGTTCTGTGCCGCCCCTGCCCATCAAAGCGCCAGTGAGTGAAACCCACCTGCTTCACGTCCCAGCAAGGCAGAAAACCCCGTCTAACGCCGAACTGTGAAGTACAGACAGGGCTGCGATTATCTGACCCTGAGATTCAATTTTTGTCTTCGAGGGACCCACTTTCACAACAAACACAGATCACTTTCAGATGACAAAGAGCCAGACGGACAGAATCATTTCTAAAATAACATCACCTTTTCTGTTTTCTGTGTCACTGGTGAAGGGGACGCTGTCAGGAGTTCCCAGCTCCAGCAATGCCGTGCGGAATTACTCGGGAGCAGCTCCTGCTCAGACTGCCCGTGAGCACGGCGGGAAGAGGCAGCAGTTAACGTGACCGCGGCAGGAGTGGGATGCCCACACACCGGGTTAATCCAGCTCAGCACGCCAGGTCCCACCTGCCTCCTCACACAACCTCTTCCCCACAAAAACAGAGGCACCACAGCTCTCTACATCATTCACGACATCATCAGGATACCAGGCGCCAATACCAGAGACTTCCCTCTCCTGCACATCCTGGAGGCTCCTGGATCCTCCCGAAAAAGGCAGGGGAACAAAAATAAATAAAAATACAGACACCAACACTTTGAGGAATCCACTGGATTTTCCTGCCTGTTACCAAGGGCAGTGCTGATCCGAGGAGGTGCAGCACATACCTTCCCCGGTTCAGGAAGGGGTCATGGAGGACAATTTCGTTGGTTTGTTTCCAGGCTTCCCATGGGATTGAGCTCAAGCATCAGCCCAAGAAAAGTTCAAGTCTAGTAAGTACTGAAACAGCCGGAATGCCTGCAGGGGAAGTACCCGCGTGTTGCGGGGTGTTTGATGCAGCCAGGCATTTCTTTTCAAACACAACTGGAACAAGAAGCAAAGATGATCCCTTTGTCCTTTTTGTTGGGTTTTTTTTTGGTCGGGGTTTTTTTTCCCCTCCTTAACTCTTCTACTTTTTTTTTTAACAGCAGCTGTTATCCACTAAAGTTATACAAATGCTGCTGTAAATCTTAAAACCTCATACAGAAAAGAAATATTTTAAGCAGCATGAAAGCATAACCAAGTTACAGGCTCATGTCTGAAATGTAAACTTACACTTTATTTCACAAGGTTTGCATTCCAAGCTGAAGCTAGGCAATGAAGAAATAAAGAGTTTTAGGAAAGAGAGAAAAGCAGCGTGGGCAGCTGGATCCCAGCGCTCCGAGCAAAGCAAGCTCAGCCTGAATGAGGAGAATCTCACGCCAAATGAGGAGAGTCTCAAGCCAGTACCTGACAAACATTAAGATCAGTTACAAATCAATATGCAGCACAACTGCTTAAAATGACTCCTACTCACCTTCAGAGCATCCACACAACCGCACAAACAGCGGAAAGCTGACAGTATTTTAACTGTATAGGCAGGAGGAAGAGGAAGGACTCTCTCAAAGGGAGACGGAGAAAAGACAAGAAGAATAAAATGGGGTAACAGTGGGGATGATCTCAAGGTTAGTCACCAGAAGAGGACTGAGAGCGTCAAGCAGGAAGAGCGCAGGGCAATGCCGCAACCTCGCAATGCCTGCCGCGGCCACGCTCTCTGACAGACCGTGATGATAATGACAAAAGCCACCCCACCATGCAAACGCTTTCACTGATGGGTTCAGAACGACTTTATTTTTGCAAGCGTTCTGTATCAAAACACAAGCTGACAGAATTGGAAAAATACCAATAAAATGACGGTATTTTCAAGTACCATGGATCAACTTCAAAAATCTGTACCACAGGAGTCACGGAAATGAGAATGTGGCCCTTTGAGCTAATTAATTCTGGCTTAATAACCAAGGTCAGCAGTAGCTCCTGAGCCTGCTAATGCAATGCTTTCGTGCCTGAGCCCGCTATGCAAACAGTAAATCTGCTCTGCTGGCGTCACGACGAGGCGGCAGGCAGCGGGTCCCTGAATACATCTGAGCACACCGTTCTTTCCAGCTAACTCCGGGCAGACAAGGTAATTCCACCCCCCCGACACTTTCCATTCATACTACGTTACAGACTTTATGCATCAGGTTTGGTAACTAAAACTAAGTTGTGCTTTCAGTCCACACCAGCACACAGAGCTAAAAAACTGCAGCTAGGGTAGATTCTGCTGAATCACACTTCTGGTTTGCTGCAGGACGCAAACACTCGTTGCCGAGTGCTGTCAGGAAGCTCCCGGTCCTGGGCAGCGACGGGACACTGCAGGAGGTACACGAGGCACAGCCTACTGGAAACACACAGGACTGTGTCCCCGGTAAAGGCACACAATCTTACCCTACTCCAGATCCACACCGTACCAACTCAGCAAGAGACAAACCAAAATCGCAGCGCAGTGAGGCGTACGGAGTCCTGATTCCTCAGGCAGGACTCGCCGGCCAAGGAGAGGACTTGCCACAATACTATCCACAGAAACATCAATGTGATGTTTTCTCTATTTCTTTTCAAGAGTAAAGTGTACCTGAATGTGAACGGGAGAGAGGTGAGGAGGTGGTTGATAGTGGTCAGTTGTTCTGGAGCGCTGATCTACGAGCAAAGGGGCGAGACAGAGTGGCAGGTATCACAGTAAAGTCCAGCAAGAATGGTCGTTCCTCCACACAATGACATCCACTTGGAAAAGCTGCTTTCAGCAGAGGAAGCCCTCGCTCACACCAAGGAGGTGAAATGCATTTGTGAAACGCTGAAATACAAACAGCAAACGGGCTGAAGGCAAGGTGGAATGTGCTGTACCCCGGCTGAACTCTCACTTCTGTGCCCTGATGTAAGCTTTGCATTCCACACTTCCAGAGATCCAAATCCTGGCGACTCTGACACCTGCAACGCCGGCCGTCACTCACGCCACACATATTGCTACCTGAGGACTGCTGGCAACGCTGCAGACAGCATCTGGCGGTCCTCTTCCAGCTTCCACAGTCTCATCACACCAACCCTGGCAGTAACTGGCAGCAGGGCTGGCCATGTCACGCTAAGCCCACAAAGTCGTTCTTCTCTACATACAGGTGCTTCTACTCAGGCTCTACTGGCAGTCTGAGCTCCCCCAAGGACAGAACTGTGTCTGATCCTGAGCTGCAAACCACTTTTCTGCATTGTTCTGCAGCGGATTTGTGATGCTAAGCCAGAGCAGACAGCTCCCTGGATGGGGTTGAGGCAGTTGCCTTGGTGCTTCCACACTGCACCAGGCTGCCGTGCAACGGCTGAAGGAGCACTACGGTCACGCAGCTCCAGCCAGCATCAGAACCGAGATCCAAACCTCAGGAGTCTACCCAATTTCTTGGGTGTAATCGGATTCACAGCACCTAGCCAGGCAGAGACTGCCAGTAAGCAGCGTGAGGTGGCAATCCTGGTGGGAACAGGTAGCGGGGGCTGCGGTCAGAATTACTGCTTTTCCGCTGCCCAGATCTCTAGTTAACAGCCTTTTTAAAGGCCAGAAGTACCGACTGGAAAAACTGCACTCTCCTTAGTAGGCCATCTGCATTTATGTTAGTGGCATCCACTGCAATAACGCACCAAGCAAAAACATCTCGGCGCCAGTATTCTGAGGAACAGCGAGTTCCCCCCAGGGACCTGACCGCTCATTTGCGCTGCCCTGACGAGCACGGACGCACAACGTCTCCAGCAAACGCTGCGCTGCCGCGGCATTCCCGGACACCGACCTTCCACGGCAGCCTTCTGCTCTCAGCATCTCCTTTAAGTAAGCAGAAGAGAGCAAAATGGAGCTTGTTCGGTCACTCAGACACGCGTTTTTTTCCCACATTTTCTTCTGCCTCATTTGTACACAACTTTTGTATTTGTTTCACGTTTCATTCTGAAGCTTTCAAAAACCTGACGCGTGACTGCTGATTCGAAGTGGTTCTGCAGCTATCAAACGATCTGCTGCTTCCACCTGGACCCGTTTGTTAGAACCAAGCGAGGCTGAGCTGCTTCTAGGGAATTTTTTTTAAAACTAATTAAAAGAACAGTTACTGAATGAGAGCAAGTTACCTGGAAACCCTTAACGCGGGTCCCAAATCTGAGCTGGATCGCTGCCTTGTCATAGAGACATCTGTTTCACCAAGAGCTAGGAGACACAACCTGGTTTTCTCTGCTGCCTCCTGAAGAGTGCTGCCGCGGGACCGCAGGCAGGGATGCTGCCTCGGGATCTCGCCGGCGGCTGCTGCTGCTGCTTGGCAGAGAAACGGCGCTGAAGGAACGACACGGCTGTAAACGGAACCAAATCCAGAACGGGGGCGAGAACCCGCTCAGGAAACTCCCGTAAACCCACGCGGCTTCAGACCCAGCTCTGCGACTCCTGTCTTAAAAACACACTGCAGCTGGGATGACACAGAAAGCCACCAACTCATCTTCTTGCTTTTACATACAAGGAATTTAGAGTTTTAAAAGGCACGGACAGCACCTCTGTTGGTGCTAAATTCCTGCACATTTCCTATTGTGTTTAGCTGCCATCTTCCCCTCCAGCTCCCCCTCCAGAACACATTTTTTCCAGAAATGAGGTGATTATTTCCACTGCCATCTTTCATCGAATACAGCATAAGGTCCACCACGAGGTTTACATTAGAAATGCAGGTTTAGACTGAGAGAAAAAATACTTTCAGTGCTCAACAGCCATCTGCTGACAGAACCACCCAACAGACACAAGTGGCTGACACACGAACACTCAGAGTGCTCAGTTCTACCTCGAGGAGCAGAGAGAGTGACCCGGGCTGAGCCCACCCCGAGTCCTAACTCAGCTTCAGCTATAAGACCTTCTACAGCTTACTGCCCACTCTACACCAAACCACAGAGGCTGACGGATAAAATGTCTGTCCACAGGACACGGGTTATACCAGGGAGTTACACGTCGACTCTTACGGACAGATAGTCTCTGCAAGACTGTTCTGTCTCACGAACACACTTCCACTGGTAGCAGCGGCAGAGGAAACAGAGGGAAAAAAGGATTTAGTATGTAGGCAAGGCCTTTGTCACCAAACAGATACTTATCAGGTAATTCCTCATGACACGCACAACTGCTTCTGTAGTCACTGTCCACACAAATGGGCTGAGAAACAAACACAAAAACGGGATAGAAAATGGTAACAAATGATCTTAAAGGCAGTGTACTAATACTTTCAGCATGCACCTAATTCAAACATGAATGACGGAGTTGCCAGGTCTGAATCATGCAGATTGAAAAAAAAAAAGACTCAAGTCTAGAAAAATGCCTATAATCCTGCCAGCAAATTCTCCGTTCCATTCTACTGAATAAAAACAGCGATACGTTCCTTTGCCTGCAAATGGAGCAAAATGAAGAAAAACTCTGACCACCTCGTAGTGCTGCCAACCCTTCAAACCACCGGCTGATACGTTTACTTAGGAAGAATTTGAAAAAATTCAAGGCATCAACTGTCTCTTCAGCATCATGGGACTAAAACCACCTTCGCGGAGCGTAAACTCCAAACACTACCGTCAGAGCTAAACTTTCAGTGCACATTTCCAACTCCTGTTTTGAATTTACATCTTCCTCTCTGACTCCATAACCACACACATTTCCATCAAACACCGACCCAGGAATGAGCTGATATTTTAGCCCTAGGAATTAATGCAAACTGGACTGTCTGAAGTTCCCTTTTGCATTTTAGGTGCCTGAAAGTAGGATTTGCCTTAAAGGGTACTATAAATCAAACTCTAAGACAATTACATCCTCCTAAAATCAATTTTAAAAAGATCTATGGCCACAATATTCTTGAATCTTCATACCAGCAATGTGAATATTTTATTTTCATACACAGCTGCACATGTATATATGCATGTTCAGCACTTTCTCAACACGCTTACATCCAACTATCGATTTAGTGCCAAATTTAAGTGGGTCTGTCTCTCATTGAGTTGAACTGACTCCGACAGAACTTCAAAAGCGTTGGGAAACGCCACCCATCAGAGAAGGTTGGAGAATCAGTCTCAAAATAAATACCATCCCCAAGAATATTATGGCTTGGAAGAATTTCACAAACTCGAGTCCCTGATGTTTGCACAATGAAAAGGCCTTTGGAAATGCCCTCGCATCAATACTTTTTACCTATTTTGAATAAAAAATATATATTATTTATAAAATAAAGAGCAGGCCATAGAAGATTGGCCACAATCACTCTATAAAACTGTTCTGTTCACTCCATAACTTAAACTTATAAAGCCTCGAAACATCTGGATAGCAGGATTTCTGAGGAAGCACTCTAGAATGCAGATTCCGATCAGATGATACTTCATGATGCTTTCTCATCTTGAAGATCCATTTGTTTTCTGCCCCTCAAAACTGAAGTCCATGCCAAGAGAAGGGATGTTGAGTCCTGAGAGGGAAGCTGAAATTTAAATAAAGGAGAATGCAGAACTGTAAGCACTGATCCGACGAGCAACAGATGGCTGTCAAATCTTGACTTTGCGCTTGGTTTCAAAGCCAAGCAGAACGACAGGGAAAACGCTGGTTTTTCACTCAGTAGCATGGCAATACGCAGTCCTCGCTGACTATCGACAGAAAAAACACTTTGGGGTTTTTCGCCTCAGTGGAAGAAAATGGAGTCGCATCTAGAAAATGCAAGAAGCCCATTTATAAAAGTCTCGAGCTGCCCCGTTTGTGTGCAGAGCTAGGCAGCGGGTTACAGGGCTCCACCATACAACACAGTTATTCAACACCCACGGAAAACAGAGGGCAAATTCTACCTGACTATTCCACCTCCTGCAAGTGGGACAGCGTCCTACGTTTTGGTCAGCTGCCCTCCCCTGTGAAAGTGCTGCACGGAGACGGAAGAGGATGCAGCCTGCAGGACACCCCCCTCCACTGCGACAAGAGTCAGAACAGGTTACACCCCAGCGAACACCCTGGCAGCAGCACCTGCCCCAAACCGTATCTTCCGTTGTTGTACCCAAGTTTCTCCAGGGTGAAAACAAAATATGTAAAAGAGTAGCAGCTGATGTGGGCACCGCAAGTTACTTCCGTCTATTCCTAACTGCAACTTGGCTGATCTAAACTTCAGTTTTTTTCAGGACTGTGTCTGCCACCTTACTGCACCTTGCACGAACCACTGAACAGACTTCCAGTCTTGTGATCGTGCAAGTTAATGCCAAGAGTCATTCCTGCCACATTTACCAGTGGAGCCGCACAGTTTGTATCCTCCCCTACAAACTGCTCTCGGCTCTTGTGTTAACTGCGTCGACATCCCGCCCTGAGCTACGCGATAGCCACCGTTTTCTTTCAGGTTGTTTTAACAATGTATTTCTGGACAAGATGGAGAAATACCAGTGAAATACTACCACACATCAGCATGACGCTCTGGTGAGAGGGTCTCTGCCCGTCCGTGGGCTCAGGGGGCAGGATGGCATGCTGCCATTGCAGCTGCACCACCACAAAGCCAGCGTGAGGGTCTGCACCACACAGCCTTCTGCGCGTTGGGTGACTCTGCCCGTGCGCTGTGGGGCATGCTGCTGTTAAAGCCCAAACCCGCCCACCGTGACCCACCAACCTGCCCGCGGAGCAGCTGTTTTGAAGGTAATGACAAAAGAAATACTGACCTTTCGGAACAAGCTTTACACTGCTGCGTCTTCAAACTGCTACGTCTCCCTTTCTATGGCAAGGGATGAAGCTTCACCAGAACCTACAGAAGGAAAAACAAGGTAGTTAGAGGTACGTACATCTGTTTTTCTCACTGACAATATATTTTTCACTAAGTGTGGGAGTGTCAGAGCTAACTGAGGAGCAGTTTTTCAACCCAGATTACTCTATTATTGGCTTTATCCATTTTAAAACTGTCACCAGCTTTAAAGCCAGACAGACCAATAAAGACCTTTCAGTTTTAATGGAACATTTCAGGCCTTTCCGGCTAGAAAATTATAATGGTTTACTTCTATTGTGTAAGATGGAATCTGAAAACTCTAAGCTTACAGCACTTCATTTGCTGATGCCTTACAAGAAAGAAGAGCAGTGGTGAGAAAACAAGGAAGAGTAAAACATCGTTTGTGCCTACGACGCAGCCTCCTGAAACCCTTCAGCCAGATGGGAGTGAGGGTACCAAAGCTTAATGAACCAGGAAATTATGTTCTCTGAATACCGTTGGGTTAGTACAGCCAGGGTAGAAACACACGGTAATACATTCCATGCACTCACGGTAAGTTTATTCCTGAACATTTTCACTTGCAAAATAAAAACATAATTTTTCTATGAACACAGTTTCAGTCTAAATCTTGGAAAACTGAAGCTGTGGAGGTTTGACTTAAGCCGTATAGAAGCAGCACAGAAACGTCTACTTTAAACCTATGTAGAGAGGTTGAGGCAGCTGGGCTCGTTTCATCTGATGAAGAGGAAGCTCAGGGTCAGCCCACCAGCAGTCTGCAACTACGGAGACTGTTTAAAATGACAACCAGCCTGAGAGCAGCTCACACCTCATACTCAATGGAAACAGCATCCTGCTGATGGTAGGCAACAACATTTTGCTCTGCTGTAGATCTGTATTATTACAGTAACTAATACCCAAGAAAGTCAAAGCAATTCATATGCATAAATCTATCTGCACAGCCTGCCTGAGAGATAGCAGGTTATCACGCTGTATCACTCCCCACCTGCAAAACATGGTTAAGTAAAACACAATGTCCTGTGAAACAACCCCAATAAAATCTGCAGCAGCTATAGGAATAAGATCCAGTTCCCAAATTCGTACTTCTAGGGTTGTTCCCTTGCCTGCCAAAAACGGGATTTCAAAACTCTGTTGCTCTGTAGACATCTTATACGGGTCTTGTGCTGCTCAGTTTTAAAATCCAGAGCTCACTGTAATACATGATTGTCAAAATGCAACAATGGCATCAAGCAGTGTCAAATATCAGTTTGCCACAGGACTTTAATTTTCTCCAAATTAATTTTCTCTGTGAAGGTAAAGAAAGAAAAACAAAGAGCAAACACCTCCCCCTTACCACTCAATGATACATACACAATAAAGCTGCCTAGGCCTCTTGTTTCATTCTTACGTAAGAAAGAATCGGTGCTATTTTCATTATCAAGTTATTCTATTAGCACAGACATCTATTTTACCATGCAAAATCTCGTCCATTTATGCAGGTGGGCAGTTCCAGAAAACAACCCTTTATTCTGCATACCTTTAGGAAAGCAGAATATGAATGTGAATGTCAAAAGGGAACTGGTAAAAGGATCTATAAGACACGCTGCCTCTGGGACATCAGTCTCACTGAAATTTCACTACCGACTTTGTGTGGAACATCTTTTTTCATCTAATTGATTTAGCAGCTGCAGGTCTGATCCACATACAAAACCATAATGGTTTTACTAAATATATTCACCAATTAGTTCAGTCGAACTGACACAGATTCCCACACAGGTACCCCTCCGTCATTTCAAACCTGACTGTGGGGCAGTCATTGATGCAGGGTTTAGCACTGCTTTAACTTTGTCTTTTTCTGTCAGACACAATTTAACCATTTATATCGTGGCTAAAATCCAGAGAAGCAAACTTAGTCTTTTGTCTCAGTTTACTGAACGGACCAATGCAGCATTGTGCGGTAAATACGCAAGGGCAAAAAAATCAAGTGCAAACAAAGAAATGTAACAGTGAAGAATCGCTAAACTAAAAATCCCTCTAACAAAGCTCATCAAAGAACGGACAGACATATAAAGTCTTTTTTCTAACAGGACATCCATAGCATCAAAGGTTTGTTTACCTTCAGAAACTGATCAAATCTACTGTACAAACACGCCAGTTCACCTAGAATTGTTCTGAGCGCATTGGTTTCTTCTGCGGAGATGAGCGCACAGCGAGGCAAGCAGCAAAGCCAACCGAGCTGCTTCACTCTCGTAATAAAGCTGAGCAAACAAAGTATAAAGTAGCTTCCTAAACATATCACTGCATTCAGGGGTTTGCACGCATGTTTGCACAAACTCTCAGAGGATAAATGCACTTAAAAAAAGAATCTTAGTCTTTTCGTTTTTACAGGCACAACTTTCTGTCTCCACCAACCGTGCTGCAGGCAGCAACGCTTACCTATAAATACACTCCGCTGGTGGAAATTTCAATTTCTCCCTGCAACCTGCAACATCCTCTCAGTTCATTCAGTTGCAAGTAGAAAGCTACTAAAAAAAAAAAAAGTTGACTCCAAAGTAGGGTTTATTTTTAGTCTGTGTTCATCAGTCAAGTCAGAGCTGCCCAGTGATGTAGCCAACAATTTTTATTTGACTAGGTCTTATAATTCATCCATTAGTCACTGTAGGTCAAGACACAATGAATTTCCTTTAGCGTTACCTTACCATGAGGGTCTTCATCCATTCCATCGTCTTCCCACTGCTCTTCATGTGCTAGGAGAGGATTCTGAGCTTCACACAAAGCTCTCATTGGGAAAAAATGTCCATCGCCCTGGCTGCGTGGAAGAAGGCAGAGAAAGACACTGTAAAAAGCAGCAGGTGACTCTTGACGGATGACCATTTCTACACGTTTCATCTGCCAACAAAGTTTTCTGTTGCCTGTATTTCCAACATTTACCTGACGTTATTTTTAAGTTTTGAAAAATACCGTGTTTATTTTTTGTGGCAGCTGGGATACCAAGTTTTACTTGCGAGTAGTTTTGGTCCCCAATTCCTTCAAGCTCTCTGGAGAATGAAAGTTCAGACCTATACTCTGGAATTAAGTAACTCTTGGCAGAACTTACATGTGCCTAACTTGATCAAGTCATTGGGATACAGGAACAAAAAACAGAAAAAAATTAACTTGTGGCCAGTTTGAAGTGAGGGCAGAACTAAGGAAAACATTTATGTGGAAGGAGCAATTTTATCAGTTTATATCACAGATTCTTGAGGGCAGAAATTACAGTTCTGTGTTTGAATGATACCCAATAGAAAATGGCCCAAATCTTAGTTCGATCACAAATAAAGACCCACTTTCTTGTGACCTAAACCTGTGCACAAAATCGAAAAACAACAACAAAAAAAAACAACAAACCTAAACCGCTCTGCAAAGATCTCAAATTGCTAAAACTATTTTTGCTTTACTACTGCCCAAACAGGAATGCGTACCCAGATATCAAAAAAGAGTTTGAGAGCACTTTCAGATTCATGTAGCGTAAACTGCCAGAGCTAAACCCGGGATGTCCAGCTTGGTCTGCACCACTCTATTCTTACACCCAGCAGTGCAGGCAGAGCAGCTATACCCTAACCGAAGCGCCTTTCTCCTCTGATTAGTTATCTTTATACGATTACTGAAGAAATTCAATTCCAGTGTACTTCACTACTGGTCTGCTAAGTGCCAAAACACCATTTTCCGCTACATTAAGAAACCTAAACTCTGTTTCAGGCAGAGGAGTCTGACGGAAGCAGAAAACGGTATCTTTGAAGTGAAGCCCCACCCACACGTGTGCCACAGGAGTCTGGGAAGAGCTCAAACACCCTGCGCCACACATCAGCCCCCAAAAACCTTTCCCTTCCAGACTTCTGGTGAACAGGATGAACGCAGGTGGTGGCTGGTGGTTCCCTGATAACGATGCACGACAACAGTCAGCCGAGCCACACGGTAACAGCCGTAACGCACGAGGCTGCAGCAGACATTTAGATGTTCCTTCACTTCGTTGTATGAGCTTTTAGCACTGGCTTGATTCCTACTTACCTAGAGGCAATAGGTAGCAACCAGAGCTTTTTTTCTTCTCCGAACACTTGCTGAAGATTCTTTACAAAGCCAAGATTGAATCCATTTTTATCTGGGCCATTTTGAAACACTGGAGCTGAGAAAGCCTCTACACACAGATGCAATTTCAGTGAAAAAAATGAAAATCAATGCCACATACTCTGAAACAGGATCGTGCATGTTGTAGCCATCTAAAGACAACATGATTTAACAGATTATGAACTAGCATTACAAAGATACAAAGTTTGAAAATAGTATTTTTTTAATTTTGCAAGCCTGTAAAGATTTTCAAACTGAAGGCAGGAATTTGGCCTTACAACTGACCCATATGGAACAGTCCAGACGAACTACAAGCGGTTTTTTTAATCTAGAGAACAGAGTTAAAAGATCTTTGCGTAAGACTTGTTGAAATTCAGTGGGTACAAATTTCTAAGCAAAAAATCAGAGAATTAAGTAGGTTGGTCTTCAATGCATATTTCAGAAGTGGCACTGGAGATTTGAATTGCCTCATTCATTAATGATATACTGAACAAGCATTAGGAACAAACATATGCAAATAGACCCTCTGTTATGGTGAGGCATAAAATTAAGAAAAGAAAGAGAGGGGAGGAGAACTAGAGTGGCACTAGAAACAATTTTATCTACCTTCTAAGCTGCTGCAGAGGTCTGACGTTTTGGGATAGACAAGCTTCAGTGCCCCATGAAATGAGTTTTAAACTTAGTAACTATACAGAATCAGAATATTTGCTCAAACTCTTGATAGTCTGTGTTTTGTTATAAAACTTTATCCAAAACCTTTAAAAATTGAACAACATTTATCTGAGGAAAGACAAAGAAATCACTTGACAAAATCATACTCTCTCAGATCTTCATTTCATTGGTTTCATAGTCATAACTTCTTTGCCTTTGTCGATAGATACTGCTTTTCCCAACCTTACTAAGCTGGCTTAGGATGCAGTCCAGCATCTGAGCATAAAGAACCCTTGTGCCCGAAAAGCTGCACTCATTTCACAGAAAATGTAGTTATACATACACATAACATTTTTATAATCGGACTCTTACACTTTCAGGCTCTCGCTTCCCTAACAAAGCTTTTGTCACACCAGCTCACAAATGCAGCTCATTTGAAGTGACAAATTTCTGCAGCATTGTGCCAAGATCTTAAATCTTCCTCCCCTCATAAGCCAGCAGGA